TACTAAATGATGATAAATAAAATCTCCAAAGTTACAACACTGTATGTGTACATCTACATATTAGTTATTAATTTGAGCAATTATTTACTCAAATTCAAGCAATGATAACATTAAAACACATAAATGATTCAAATCACATCTTCAATTGCACTATATAATATTTGATGTTCTAATTTAAATAATTATATATCAATCCAAATATTCGTAATATATTACAACAAATCTATTCCGTGCATCGCACGGGCGCAAATACTAGTACTAATAATAATGTAAACAATTTTTATACATTTGATATTTATATTTATATTTTAAGAAAAAATTTATCTAGAATTCTAATATATAATGTCTATATATTATTACCATTAAGAAGATAAAAAAATCTATCATGGATGCATGTGCATGGTAACAACAATTGGAAAATATAACGGTAGTTATAGCGGTAAGGTATTTTTGACCAAAATATTGTATAGTACAACTCTTATAATATAATGTATACAAAGAAAAGGTAACGGACATAAATGAAGGGTATAACTAGGGCTGGGCACTTCGGGTTTCGGTTTCGGTTTTTTAGTTTTAAAAAAATTAAACCATTCGGTTTAAAAATGTGTTCGATTTCGGTTTCGGGTTGAAAATTTCGGTTCGGTATGCGGTTCGGTTTTGGTGGAAGTCCACTATTTGAACGATTCCTTTTTTGCCTGACCGATTGTTCAGTTGGCTCACTTGGAGTGCCACTTGAAGTGTTTTGTTGATGACAAGATGAAGAATATTTATCTATTGTTAATATTTGAAAAATAAGAATTATTAAAACACCAAATGTTGGGACTCACGATTTAGAGTTGAGATCTAAGGACTTGAGGAGTTGAAATTATTAATTATTATAATATTTATATATAATACTAGCATTTTGTACGCGTGATGCGCGAAAATTTATGCCCAACATTAAAAAATTGATAAATGCAAATAATTACAAATTATAGTTCAAATTATATTTCGCAATTCCTTAAAGTAGTAAATTTTAATTATCGTATTCGAAAACTATAGAGATGAACAAAATTTATATTTGTTTATTAATAATGTAAACAATTTTGATATAATTTATACTTTGTTTTTACAATAAATAACTAAAATATCTATAATACTAATCTAGTACCCGGTCACATATATCGGTGCGTGTGCATGCCTATATATATACACACATATATGATTCACCATTCATAGAAATTTAATTAAAATATAATCAACAATTAAAGTAATTATATAATGATTTTGCCCTTAGGGTTGGGGTTCAGCCTTTGGAAGAATTATATAATGATTTTAATAAAATGATAATTAAAGAATAGAAAAAGATATCATAGATATAGGTGCATGATAATAATGATAGAGTTATGAAAGTTAGAATTAAATAGTAACGGTGTTATCACGGTATAAGGGTACTTTTGTCTCACAAGAATGTTGTAGGGACAATTTTGTACATTATAATTAAAGTGTATAACATTTAATGAAAAATGTTTACCTTTATTAGCATACAAATGTAAATATTAACACAAATGTGCTTATAGCTTAATGGATAAAGCTCATGGTTAGGAGTTCAATTCTCACCCTAAACATTTAATTTATTATATTATACATTTATTAAAAAAAAAATAAAATCGATCGATTTTTCGGTTCGGTACTCGATGAACCGAAATGCCCAAGCACCTTGTGCTCAAATGGAACTTCTGTGGCTCCCCTTGAGGAAAGGTCATAGGTCGAACCCGAAAAAATTGAATATGGTGGCGGGTTATGAATAGGGAAAAATTGAATAATTACGGTACTAAATTGGCAATTTTAAAAGTTGTGAACTCAAATTGACAATACCTCAATAGTCATAGGACTAAAAGTGAAATTACCTCTAAAAAGTTTTTGTATGGAATGTTCAGAATATGTACACTACCATCATCTTATGGAATGTTCAATGTTAATTTATTGTAAAATTAAAATGTGGCTTGTTGCTAACTCAAATTGACAGTACCTCAATAGTCATAGGACTAAAAGTGAAATTTTCTCGAAAAGTTTTTTTGTATGGAATGTTCATAATATGGACACTACCATCATCTTATGTAATGTTCAATGTTAATTTATTGTAAAGTTAAAATGTGGCTTGTTGCTAGGAAGTGAACTATGACTTTTTGTAAGACTGGCAAAATATGTAGTAGTTAAGAGCTGCCAGAGTATGTACACTGTCAGAAGTGAACTATGACTTTTTGTATGGAATGTTCAAAATATGTACACTGTCAGAGTATTCAAAATTTAGTTGTTTTAGTGGAGATTTGGTCTACAATCTACCCTAAATTGTCATTGTGGGTTCTAACATAGTAGCATCTAAATTGTCATTGCAATGATACAATGTGATGTGCCCTGTGTATGAAATTTGAGCTAATTAAAGAAGCATAGCATAATAACATTTAAATATTGTCATTTTGTAAGGATTTCATTCTCATTACACAGTGAAACATTACAATAAATATTAAGAAGGGAAAATTGTAATTTATTTTCCTTCATAATATGTCAATTATCAATGTCACCCCTGAATTATTAGTGGTGTAAATGTTGCCCCTCTCAATTTTTAAAACGGTACATATATTGCACATGTATTATGTGTACTTGTTAGTATACAAACTAATAAAAGTATTGAATTATATGAAACCTGTTTAGTAACTTTACTTGTAAGGATATCACATCCACTGAGGTTTGAACCCACAACTTCCCCGATAAAGGAGCAACTTGGTGCCATTGGACCACAATAATCTCCAGACTTAATCCTTCTGTCAATTTATAAATATGTATTTTTATTTGAAAGGTTTTTATAGTGGTTGTAAAACTTACACATACAAATGTTGTTGCGAAAAATCTGCAAGGCGAGCTATTGCTACGAGTCCTTTCATTCTGGTTCAGAATTGTAGCCTAAGCATCAATTACTCCAACCTTTATCTCCACATTCATGTTAAGGGTTAACATACCATCCCAGATGACTACTCTTTCACCGTAGCAGAAAATCTCCTTTGTACTGTTTGTAAAAAAAAATAATTAATATATATATATATATATATATATATATATATATATATATATATATATATATATATATATATATTAGAAATTTTAATATATTGATGACCAACACATGCATGTTTAGTTATATAGTCTTACGGGTCAACATTTTCGTTCTGTAGAATTCATTTGGCAATGACTTTTTCATTTGTATTTCATGGTCGTTGAATATCAATTTGTCTTGTCAAGAAGGGGGACTTCAAATGATTATATTGGTGATCCTAACTTGTCGTCTTTCCACCCGTGGTTGTAGCCCCTGAGGTTCTTTTGGTGCAGTCTTATCAAATTCCACTTCTATGTTGTGGGTCTACATTATCTAGCCCTCTTTGATGTTGTTGTGGTTGTTTTGGCAGCATCTATAATCATTTCATATTTTTTTTTTTGTATAAAGTTAACATGTGTTTTAATCAAAGACGGTATTTGATGCAAATAAATTTAGTATACAGTGCAACTATATTTACCACAAAGTGCAATTAGTATATACTAATAATGCAACCAAGTTGTTAAAGTTTCATTACCTCATCAACATTCACTTGTCGGTCTCCCATTAAGTCCTTGTGTTTGTTCTTCTCTTATATTCTGATATAGGGTTGCATCAGTAGAAGGTCTGATAGGGTTTGTAAAGCTTGCCTGTGCTGCAGTCCTTGAGACATTGTGAATTGCATTTCTCTTGGAGTAAGGCCCAAGCTAAAACTTGGTACCTCTGCCACCTTGTTCCTGTACTGTTCTCTCCTAGTAATTGTATCATCAATCTCATCAAATGCGGCAATGAACTCTGGGTTGTTCCAGAATTCTTCACTCTGTTGTGTCGATCTAATCTCAGGGTTTGGAGTAAGGCCCAAGCTAAAACTTGGTACCTCTGCCACCTTGTTCCTCTACTGCTCTCTCCTAGTAATTGCACCATCAATCTCATCAAATGCAGCAATGAACTCTGGGTTGTTCCATAATTCTTCATTCTGTTGTGTTAATCTAATCTCAGGGTTCGAAATTTCTCTAGCAATTTATGTGCAGATTCCACCATATGTTTGAAATTCTCATCTTCGAGCGTGTGTTGGGTGCCTCTTGTGCCATTTTTATCACTTCAAACATTGTTTTTGCTAGAAGTTTTTATCTTTTGTGCAAATCTGTGCATGTAATTTATTTATTTATTTATTTATTATTATTATTATTATTTTTTTTTTTGCAGTAGATATGTGATTTTGCCCGTGTGCCACAATTTGTATGTCGTGTGTCACAGTTTGTAAGTCGTGTGCCACAGTTTGTATGTCGTGTGCATAGGTTTGTTAATTAATATAGTCTGGGTTCGAAACTTGATGTTTACATGTATTCTTATGTGCCATTATGTATTAAATTGTATGCATGATACTAATTTGTAGTGTTTCCGTAATCAATCTGCACAATCCTCTATATATTTTGGTCCTCATATGAACTCAACCCTCTATATATATATATATATATATATATATATATATATATATATATATATATATAATTTGGGATCCATCACTCCACGCCACATCAAAATGGTGTGCAATGTTTTCCGTTAAAAAATCGAACAGTCCGAGACACAAGAGGTGCCCGCGTTTTCTTGTCTTCTACTTCCAGCTCTACTGAAGATGAGTACACATTTTATCTACGAACCAATGTCGGGAAACAGACAAAACTGATTCTTTTTATATTTCCATAAAAATTTAGGATAACAATTTTCTTGGATTTGCCAGTGTTATCGCTAGGATAACAATTTTCTATATTCAGAAAAATACAAATCTCAATTAATACATGACCCAAAAATATATTTGTTCTACCTCTGTGTATATACATGTAGAGAGAGGGACGAAAATGGAGGTCTGAACGGCAAGGAGAATATTGGTATACGTATCTGTTAAAGTGATTTTCTCTCTCTAGATTGCTTTTTTTACTTAATTTTTTTTGGTGGGGTTTTTCCTATAGTTATAAAGATATATTGTATGTGTGTGTATATATATGGCGTCATTGTTTCATCATTATTCTACTCGTGTTAGCCTATCCCCAAATTCTTGCTCCCCTTCGCCTTATTGTTCTTCAACCTCTTCTTCCAGTCTTCGCCCAAGGTTTAATCGGAAATTCATCAGCCTTTCAGGTAAAAATTCATCGATTTTTAGGCTATAAGTTTTGATTAATTCATCAATTTTGGAATACGGTGGTTCTTGTCTCTCTTAGGTTATGAGTTTTTATTGCAAGTATGAATCTTTTTTTTTTTGTTGCAAGTGCAGATGAATCTATAATTCATCAAAAATCTCTTGTTTTTCCCTTTTTAGTTGATTGAATTCTGTAATGGCTGTAAGAATACAAGATTATGTGTTATTATGTCAAATGCTTAGTACCCTTTGTATGAAATGTTCTTCAAGTTGCTTTGTTTTTGTTTATGATTCCAGATTTGGTTTGCTGGATAATTTCCAGTTGATTCTTGCTTTCTTTTTATTGCTTTATGAGTTTATGAATGATAATAGACGAGGCTATCGAACATTATCGGGCTGTTTTGCTCCACTTGAATTGAAGGTCTTACTTTATATTAATGCAGATATGAATAATCTCTGGAAAAATTTAAGCCTAAAAGCTCTTTCCATGGCTACAACTCAAGGAGACATTGCATCTCCGAGTGGCATCGTTGATGAAGGAGATAACCCTGAGCATCTTCTTGTCCTTGTTCACGGCATCATGGGAAGGTAAATTTGTCTCGATACGAAAATTCCCAACTTTCTATTTGATAGGATTTAACAAAAACCATAATAAATGTTTATGCTTTCCGTATATTTGGCATGAACCCAGAAGGAATTATGGACAGCTAATATAATGATGAAATGATTTTTGTTAGATGTTTTATTTGATGGATCTCTGCGCTGCACTATGCTTACTTCGCAGTGGTCACCCATCCTGTGACTGCTGTAAGGTTCTTTGGCTATCTGGTTGTCATATTCTACTTAAAACCAATTGGTGATAAGTAGGTGGACATTTACCATTTAACCACATCCCTCCATAGTAAGTCACAGTGTCACGTCTCGAATCGAGCAGGGGCTGAACTCGGCCAACCCGGCCGACACCCAACATTATTATCGTTGATAGTTTCAGGGTAGTTACTAGAAACTTCAGCGTTTTCCATTTCTGTTTTCGCTGAGATCTCCACGTGATGCAGCCCGGGTGACTGGACTTATGTACAAGCAGAGCTGAAGAGGCAGCTGGGAAGAAATTTTATGATCTATGGTATTGTAAAAATTATTTTTTTATCGAGTGAAAGGTGCAAGTTTACTTTAGATTAACATTCGAGTTGCTTTATATGTACAGCAAGCTCCGCTAACGCCTACACCAAAACATTTACCGGGATTGATGAGGCTGGAAAACGACTAGCGGATGAAGTATGTAAAATGGATTGGTCTTTCTGTTAAGGCGTGAAATTATTTTATCATCTTATGTTGAAATAAGCTTTATCATTGACAGATTATGCTAGTCGTGAAAGAGAGAAAGAGCCTAAAAAAGATATCTTTTCTAGCTCATTCTCTCGGTGGATTGATTGCGAGATATGGAGTTGCTGCTCTTTATACCCCAATCGTATCTAGCGATTTGTCTACTGGAAACAGAAACCCACTGAGCTCTTCAAATAACGGGTTGATTGCTGAGCTGGAACCGATCAATTTTATCACGTTGGCAACCCCGCATCTTGGAGTTAGAGGCAACAAGCAGGTGTGTTCTTTCTGGCCGTTTTTTTTCATGTTCTGCAACCATGTTAGAAAAAGTATTTTGGTCCTTTCGTCCGTTTTAAAGTCCTCTTTGGAAAGACTTAATTTGTCTCGAGGTTGAATTCTGGGCTAGTTCTGTTTCAATGCGATTCTACATAAAAAAATATTTTAAGATTATGGCGACCGTAGGATTGCTTACAAGGACTTGATCCTGATATCCAGACAGTTGATTTTCCTTTATGATCCAGCTTCCGTTTCTCTTTGGAGTCTCGATCTTGGAAAAACTTGCTGCACCAATGGCTCCCATTTTCGCTGGTCACACCGGTAGTCAGCTCTTCCTTACAGACGAAGAACCTAACAAACCGCCTCTTCTGCTACGAATGGCATCGGATTGTGAAGATGGGAAGTTTATGTAAGTAAATTCGTTTTTAACATATCATTCTTGTTGCTTCTCATTATGTACTAAAATTTGTTATCTTTGACGTTTTTTGTCTGTCCCTGCAGATCTGCACTCGGTGCTTTCAGATCCCGCACGATTTATGCTAACATCTGTTATGACCGTATCCTCTTTCCCCTTAAAATTTATTCGGCAACCGTAATCACAATTTGGCTAATATGTTTTAAGCTACTTGGAATTTCTTGACTTCACCTAGATATGGTCGGTTGGCGCACATCCTCTATAAGAAGGGAGACGGAACTTATTGAGGTAATTAATTGGTAATTCACATATCACTGTATGTATGCAAGCATTTAGTTAATAATCCGAAAAGCAGAAACGAGTTATTGCCCCGTGGGTGCAATATTGTGTTCGTGTATGATTTCAGAGACGAGCATTATACACTATATATATATATATATATATCACCTTGCGTTTTCATAACTCTTTGTATGTGGGTCCCGTTAGAAGCCACCTACACGATCTTTGGACGGTTACAAGCACGTTGTCGAAGTTGAACATTGCCCCCCCATTTCATCGGACGGTCCTCGTTTCCCTCCCGAAGCAACCAAAGCGAAGGAGGCTGCTCAAAACGAACCCAGCACACAAAATACATTAGAATATCACGAAATTCTGGAAGGTACGTAGCATATATATATATATATATACTTGTATTGATTGTACTCCTAATCTATACTTGTGTACCTCGAGAAACAGAGGAAATGATACGCGGCTTGCAACAACTGGGGTGGAAGAAAGTTGACGTTAGCTTCGAGTCTGCACCCCTGCCCTTCTTTGCTCATAACAATATCAATGTATGATTTAAACCAGTGTATATATATATATATATATATATATATATATATTCATTTGTTGATGTTGCGATTTTCGTTAAACTATAAACACTGGTTCCTGATTTGCATATAAATAGGTGAAGAACGAGCGGATTCATAATGCTGGAGCTGGAGTTATTGCTCATGTCGTCGACACCATAAAGCAACAAGAATCCGACACACTGGTTGCTGCTACCTTGTAGCACTTGTAATTGCAAACAGGTGTTTAAGAATTAAGAATTAAGAATTAAGAATATATATATATATATATATATATACACACACAGGGCTGTATACTGTACATTCTGATATGGATTACAAATATTATCAAAATCTGATTCTTTCTTCCTGTTTGATCCTAAATCTGATTGAACATTTACATTTGTATGGAATCATAGTTTGGCTTTCTTTTAACTGAAACTCCATTCCCCTACCCCGTCAAAAAATTAACTTTTATATGCAAGGTTGCAGAAGGCGCTAATCGTGCGTCTAAGTGCCTAGCGCCTAAGCAACTGAGGCAATCGAGTAATAATAATAATAATAATAATAATAATAATAATAGGCTCCAGCCGCTCTACATAGTCCAAAATTAACTTTTATATGCAAGGTTGCAGAAAGCGCTAATCGTGCGTCTAACTTTTCGTGCGTCTAAGTGCGTAGCGCCTAAGTAACCGAGTAATAATAATAATAGGCTCTTGCCAGTCTACATAGTCCATAGGGAAAGTTGTTGTTGCATGTCAAACCACACTCCATGTAGTTACCGACGCAACAGTCGTCCGCTTGAAAGTTCATGACTCAGTCGAGTTGGGCGCCAACTCAGTCAAGTTAGGTGCCGATTCAGTTGAGTTGGGCGCCTAGCTAGCCAACCAACTAAAAGGCGCCTAGGGGCTAGGAGTGAAATCCCCTTGCCCTAGGACCGCCTAGGCTGATTTTTACAATACTGCTTATAACCTTATATGTGTGTGCCGTGTTGTGTTTTGGGCCAAGTTGTGTCGAATCTGAATTAGTCTCAAATGTTTGAATATTATATGTAAAAGAAATCCCCTGCAATGACAGTTTTCTTTTCTCAGTAATGTGCTACTGTTGAGTTAAATTGCAATACCAATTGGTCTTTAGATGTCAATGAGATAAACACATCATGGGCAACATGGAACAACTGACTGGAAATTTTATACTCAGAGAATCTTGTATTACAACTAGACAAAGATCCATTGGGAATCATTGATACTCCAAGAGTTTCAAGAAACATGAAAATTATCAAAACTGATTTACATATTACTCAACTACAATGTACTATTACTCTAGGTTTATGCAATAAAAACGTGTTTACTCAAGGGCGGCATTCATCTAGGCGACTTTTGTGCAGCTGAAAGGCAGGGTTAACCCATGCTCCACAGTTGCATTGCATGCCTGCCCAGTTAAAGTAGCCGAGGCGCGCTTTGCAGCCCACGCACTGAAGCTTATCCTGCACACAACCTTCTTCCACTGCAACACGAGACAATAAATGAGGATGAGATTCGAAAGGAAGAAAACCGAGAACTCGAGAAGTGCTGTTTCAAATCGGGCCTAGGCGCCAATTACGAGTGCTGTTTCAAATCGGGCCTAGGCGCGCTAGGCGGCTCTAGGCGCCAATTAATCGCTCTAGGTGGGTTAGGCGCCCTAGGCGGTCCCCAGGAGCCTAGAGGGTTTTTTCAACCTTGGTTTCATTGAAAGATTATATTATGGTTTCAACTAACTAACATGTTTGCATCCACTTCATGGGTTCCACGAAAATAGACGAGCATTCGGGTTCAGCATCACCATCACTCCTCTTTTTCCACTTAAAACATCTTTGGCCGCCTCCACGCTGATGAGGCACAACTTGATCTGCTGAAGCAACAATTCTCCGGCATTTCTTGCAGCGATATATGACCTCGGGTTTCAGATCAGAACCTGTATCACAAGTGTTTGAGGCTTCCATTGCAGTGGCAATTTGGGTTTTGCAAAAGAATCTGTTTTATACAAAAGAAGAGTGATTGAATGTTAGGGTATGATGAACAGATTAAGCCTGCAATAACAGAGACAAGAGATCAATCAACATATGGCTCTAAACAAAATCTAAAATCTTTGGAGCCTAAGAAATGAAATTTGAAGCAATAAGCTTCACACACTCACACTCCAAATCCCCTCCCCACCCAAAACAACTTCATTTACTAAAGAACATACAATACTAATATCAATAGGATTTTCCTTATGCATTAATGCGACACACCTCAAAGATTGATACGAATATACGCCGTATATAACTTAAATTTCATGAAAAAAAAAAAAAAAAAGAGTTAAAACTTTAGGTTACTTTTCCAATCCCAAGCTCACAGAACACTAAAATTCAAGGAACCTTACAAATACGAATAATCACGAAAATTCAAAACCTAAACTAATTGCTCAATCATGCGTTTTCAGATTTTCTTCAGCAAGCCCATTTCAGTTTACATAGTTCACTCGCAAAATCATTAAAAAAAAAAAAAAAACCCTAGAAAACGGAAGATAAATACCGGCAATTATTGAAGCCGGCAAGAAGATCCAAACTGGTAGGAGCAAACTGTTAATCCGTTCTGGCAATTCGGCAAAACCCTCCTGCCGTTTATGTACGGATGCCGGCGGGACTATTGGAATTTGGAACAGACAAGTATGAGCTTTAATAAGTAAGATTCAATAATTGGGCCGTATAGATGAAATTTGGCCTATAATTCATGGATTAGCCCGAACCCATCTTTTGAAGTGATAGATCCAATTAAGCATGTGGCAGCAATTATATCGTGGACCATGGTCCCATGGTCCAAAAACGGTGTCGATAAAAAAATGACAGCAGTTACTGTTTAATGGAGCGTGTATTTTTGGTGTGTTAATTATCAAATGAAATTACAGTGTATCTAAACTGATACTGTCTCCGGTATTATTTTTATATTATCAAATGAAATTACAATTGAATTGAAATGAAATTGTAGTTGTGTTAAAATGGAATTGTAGTGTATACAAAATGAAATTGAATAACAATTTCACATATTTGAGTGTATATTGTCCAGCGAAACTGTAGTTATATCAAAATGATACTGTAGTTGTGTTGAAATGAAACTGCACGGTATATAAAATGAAACTAAGTAACATCTTACATATTTGAGTGTATATTGTGCAATGAAACTGTAGTTATATCGAAATGATAATGTAATTGTGTTGTAATGAAACTATAATGTACATAAAATGAAACCGAATAACAATTTCATATATTTGAGTGTATAATATCGAATGAAACTGTAGTTATATCGAAATGAAACTGTAGTTGTGTTTAAATGAAACTCCAGTGTATACAAAATGAACCTGAATATGTTATACAATCAAAGTAACTTTTTTGTGGACGACACGGAATACGTGCCGTTTCTTTTCATTAAAAGAAACGACACCGTTTTGATGTCTGAACCACAATGCATTGTGGACCATGGTCCACAGTATAATTTGCTAGCAACTTGACAATTTTCAACACGATGAATAATCGGATATAAAAATAATGAGTTAGTATTTGGTTTTCAATTGATATATCATGGATTATGATTCATCATGCACATATAGACCTTATCAAGATTATGTACATATAGTTAACAAATTATGTATATTCCGCTCGGGTCGAGGCTGCCACTACGTCCTAAGACGGATCAAAGAAGAGTGGGTGTTGCAGTTAACATATTATATAGGAAAAATGACACTTTTTTCCCTGAATAGTTGGAGGGTATATATATATATATATATATATATATATATATATATATATATATATATATATATATATATATATATATATATATATATGGTCATGTTCATGTGAGAACATGTCTTCCCGTGCGGCATACACAATTAGGTATGTATAAATGCACCACACAGTGTTCGAAAATACACCATTATGTGTGGTGTATTTTTTTTGTGTGGTGTATTTTTTTTGTGTGGTGCATTTTTTGACATTTCATTCTGGTGTATTCTCGAACACTGTATGGTCCATTTATGCATACCTAATGATGTATGCCGCACTTACCGCACGGGAAGACCTGTTCCAAATATATATATATATATATATATATATATATATATATATATATATATATATATATATATATATATATATATATATATATATATAACCATAAAAGTATCATAATAATTACACATAAGAAGAGAATGATAATCTATTTTGTACTAATAATATTATACCTTAAGTATAAAATAAGAATATTAGGCAATCCTATATATAATAAAGCTATATGGTCTTGTGAAAATTAAATGGTGATAGTATCAACATTTAATTTTCACAAGACCATAATAATATTGTTATTGTGAAAATTAAATGTTGATAATCAACATTTAATTTTCACAAAACCATAATAATATTGTTAATTATAATAAAAATACTAATAACAATAATAATAATAATAATAATAATAATAATAATAATAATAATAATAATAATAATAATGATAATTTCCACGGACAGTTTCTAATATATATATATATATATATATATATATATATATATATATATATATATATATATATATATATATATATATATATATATATATATATATTTATTTATTTATTTATTTATTTATTTATAATTCAATTTCTACTGGCAAATTATTGTGTGAACGATGGTCCACATAATTGTATGGATCATGAATATCAAATACATTTTTAATATATTAAAAATACATTATTTTTATATTGAAAGTACCTTACATACATATATAATGTACCCTTAGTATATTTAAAATATACTTTTTATTGCATGCAACCCCAAAGTTCATAAGTTTGAAATTAATATATGGCATAGCTAGGCGGCCTAATATTTAAGATTGTTGATGTGCATATTGAGGACTACGGAGACAAAGATGCGTTATTCGTGGATTCATCGGATACTATCCAACAACACTCTCCAACTTAATTGACATGAAGTGGCTTAGTAACATTAAGATTATATTCTCGAATTATTAGTTCTCATCTTTTATTGATTACACACTTAATTCGATAGTATTTGGAAGAAAAAATCAATGTTCGAACTAATATTGTGATTTTGGTCTTTAAAGGTCAATTGTATGGTGCTACATCTAGAGTTAGAAATCTCAAAGGTCTAAAAAATTTGATCCGTGGTGATTCTAAAATTGTAATTCAATTACTATTGTAGTTTACTAAGTTCTTAAAAATTTGTAATATTAAATACTATGTACTAAATTTTTAATATAGTTTAAGATTTGTAGTAATCACCCACCTTAAATATTATTTTAATTGTAAATATATTTATGTTCATAATTTTATTACAGGAATTCACACATAATAATTATTAAATAACAAAAATTTTATATATGAATAAACCTCATATAGAGTATATTTTTATAACATATTTTTCGTGCATCGCACGGGACAAATACTAGTTATATTAATAAACAATTAATATTTTGGTACATTAATTTTCAGCTAGGAAATAATTAGGCTGAAAATAATTAATAAAAATATTAGGCAATATCAATGTCGGGATTCAATTTCCAGTCTTGATCTGAGATCCCTCGTCAAGAAAACATCCATCTCCACCGCTTTCCCTCCGCTTGCACTGCCTCCCTTGTCAACTCCTCCGCCTCTCTCCTCATCACCGACGATGAGGCCGCTGCCGTCTCTCCCTTCACGCTCTCCGCCACAACCGTATAAGTTCTCTTGAAGAATTCTACATTGATAAACATAATTTGTGTATATACGGATCGGTGAAGACATCGACGTTCTCGCGGTGGTTTACGGCGACTTCCTGCTACAACAATTAATTATTACCCTAAAATGATATTGTAATATGATTTTTTCTTTTTTTATCAAAAAATAAAAGTTTCCTTGCAATCAAATTAAAAATCAATCCACAACAATTAATTATTACCCTAAAATGATATTGTAATATGATTTTTTTTTTTTATCAAAAAATAAAAGTTTCCTTGCAATCAAATTAAAAATCAATCAAAAATTTCAACCAAACATATATGGTGGCGTTAATATGGCATTCACGAATCACTCATATACTACTACTACACAATCATAATAATATATATCTTTTTTTTTTTTTTTTTTTTTTTTTTTTTTTTTTGCTTAATTTCTATTAGTTTTGAATAGGAACAACATCTTCAGTGTAGTCCTCTGACTTGTGCATTTTTCCCTTTTATTTTCTTCTTGTTCTCACTTTCTTCCTTAGCTCTTCGTTTAGTACACGTGAATTACTTCCTACCTTTTTTCTTGGTTTATGTAACAAAACAAATGAAATAAAATGTCAAATTCACACTAGTACAAAAAGGAGCAAAGAAATATGATTTTAGGCTACCCTTCTTCAAACAAAGGTAGTGTATTGTTAAGAAAAAAGTGGGCGGTGGCATAATTGTAAATAAATGAACAAGAAAACGCTACCCTTCCTCGTAAAAAGGGGAGCGGCAAGTTTATTAATTAAAAATTAATAAACTTTTAGCTACGCTTTCACTTAGAAAGGGTAGCGGATATTATATTAATATTAATATAATATTAATATTAATATATATTAAAATTAAAATTAAATAGTTATAATAAAATCAGATGTGAAACTCTCCTTTCCTCCGCCATCAAACCAGGTCTCTGCACCTCTCCTCACCTCCCTCTCCTTTTCGCCGCCGTCAAACCAGATCTCTGCACCTCTCCTCACCTCCCTCTCATTTACGCCGCCGTCAAACCAGATCTATGCACCTCTCCTCACATCCCTCTCCTTTCTGTGGCCAACACACCTCTCTCAACCACAAACGCTGCCGCCGACACGCCTCTCTCATCAGCCACCAGCAACGCAAGTTATCCTCAGTGTTCGCTGACGCCTCCTTCCGCGACCGCGACCGCTGCCAGCTGCCGCAACTGCCTCTGCCGACGTCTATGCATTATTAACGCGGTAATTGAGGTTTTTTTTTTTTTTTCTGCACAAGTATTTCACAAGGAGATGACTGGTATTTTTGTATAAATGTTGAAGCACAAGTTTTTACATGTATTATTATTTTTATTTATCTATACTTTCATCTTCTGCTGTATGCTTGCTGATGCAAACTAAATTGGATTATGTTAGTGTCGTGTGCCTAGTGGTACAATCATTCTTAATTGTTCTTCTTTTCTTTTCATGCCAGGTTTGTTAACTTGCTTCTTGTAGGAAGCAATGGAGCATAGACAACCTACAAATTCATTCAGTTCATTTGGAAATGGCCAGAGTCATAATCAAAATTATATTTCAGAGCAACCTTTTACTGCCACAGGTACTGATATCTTGATTATGTGTTAATGTGTTATTCCGTGAATACATAGAAGTGGCTGAAGAAAAGAACATGATGTTTTGCAGGTTCTATTTATGCTTCTGTAGACAGTATGATTATACTCCTATCTATTCCATTTGACATTGCTTATGGATCTTAAAGAATTTGTTGCCATGCTATTTTTGAAGTAAATTCATTGCAACTTGAATTATTAAAGGAATTAAATTGTTAACTACTAATCTGCAAAAAAAGAAAGTGCTTTAATTGACAAGTAGTATCACATAGATGGAGATAGAGTGTAACTAATAACTCTCAATTTTAAAAGATTCCTGCTGGGGGATTGGTTGTTTTCAGAAAAAGAAACTTAACCAGGAGAACCTTTGTTACCACCTTGACACACTTCCAATATCTCATTTCAGGAAGAATTGCTGCTTTAGGTGGCTCTTTTGTCCATCCTGGACCTGGAGATGTCCTGGCAAGCAGTGAAGACCAACACTGGAATTCCAGAGGCAGAGTACATCAATATCATTATTCAAGTTCTAGCATAGAAGCAGCTCATTTTCCCCCACAGATTTCAGGCCCTCCCTAAAATCGATCATTTACCCTAAGGCCTGAAAAATGTGATGGTGAGGTCTCTCTCAAGGAAGATAATATATTGTTCAAGAGTGTCAGCTCTAGACCAATGACTTAGGTAATCAATTTTTAGTGAAGTTCTTTTTATTATCTGTTTAATGCATAATATCCTTTATAAGCATGCCTCTTTAGTATTGAATGGAGGATCAGTTAAATTAATGTGGGGTAAGAATGGTATGTATCAAGTGCATCAACTTTGAAACAATAACAAGTAATTTTGGAAAAGCTAGAGCAATCAATATGGCTTAAGTGTTTGTCTTTTATTGATAAGAAATTGGTGCATCTCCTCAGACCTCAGTATTAGAAAGATTTATAGTTTCTGGACATTGTATTGAAATAGGCTCTTAAATTTCAATTCATATCTTGTGTATAGAGGCTAGCTTATCTAAGATGGAAATCAACAATATTTTTTGTCTATTTACTTTTATAAGTTTAGAACTAATTTGAGCATCCAAGTGATTGTCATTCCTTATTTTGCAGTTTTGAAGTCTACATTTACGTTTTTGCATATCCAGGTACAAGGCATGGGGTTCTCTCTTAGCTAGGGAGACAGTGATCAGAATGGGATATCATAGTGGCATGCATTGATTACAGGTACCTTATTCTATTTATAAAAGATGAGAAATACTTATCGGTTTTTGTGAATGATATTTAAGAAAAGCTTCTAATTGAACTCAATGTACATTTCAGGTCCTTGTTGGAACTGGTCCCGTATTATGAATATAATCAGAATAAAAACTTTGAAGGTTTATGCCTTTGGGTTCTGTGAGTGTTCCCTTCTTGCACAGAAACTTTTTAGTTGCTCATAACATTTTTCCCAATTTAATCCTAAACACTTGATCGGTTTTTGCATTGTCTATAGATGTTCATCCTTTTGATGTCTGCCAGAAGTTGGGTCCAAAATATTCTTCTTTTCCCTGCAGACAAATCCTGAGACTGATTTTCACTGCATACATACATTTGGTTCAACCTTCTCTCAAGATATCCCTTTACATGTTGTAAGTACTCATTTATTCTTGCATTATATTCTCCTTTTTATTTTATTTTTTAATTCTAGAATAACGTAATTGATTTTTTTTTTGTATGAATATAAAGCCTTTAGGGTACGACAATCAATTTTCGGCGTACGGCCGATGGACATCTGATTACCGAGAGTAAGTGGCTCACATACTGTTAAAGATTTGTTATTTGTTGTTTTACCTTTTTGGTAACAGTCTTCCTCACTTGACTGTAACATGTCTGTAAGTAAAATTTAATGTTTTTTGTATTTGTAAAAAATGGTCATTTGTTTGTGCAGTTGGTGGTAATCATATTGGAACAGTTCATAGCAAGGAATTGTGTAGTAAGTGTTTTTTTTTTAAATAAATAAATTTTGAGTAGCCGTGAGTTGATGCTTCAAGATATTAACTACTTTTATGAAAGAAATTGCCCAAATGACATTTACTATTGGTTTTGTTTCCCAGGGGCCTTTTTTGATATGTACATTGGTGATCTCCCTTTTTTGATATATACTTAAAGTATAAAATGTCTATTATCATATGAAAATTTATTATCTGTAAGTTTTAATTTTAGCTGTATGCTCATCACTTTGAATAACAAATTATTACATTAGGTAAGTAAATTTAAATTGACCTATGTATAGTTAAATTATATTTTATTAATTAACATATTTAGTAATTTGATTAATAAAATTATTTTGTAGGTATTTGATTGAAATTTGTACTTTATCAATGAAATAGATGGGATTGGAGACTTTGGAAGAGTGCGTGTAACTTTTGTTTTAGATTTTAAATATTATAGTGTGTTGAAAGGTTTTGGATGAAATAAATGTATAGTGTGTTGAAAGTATTGTATTGATAGTCTTTGGTTAAAAGTATGTTGATAATATTGTGTTTTGATAGTTTGGTAATAATAGTGTTGATGGTTAGTATTATGTAGTGTATGAATATGATTTTTATAATAAAAATTGGGGCATTTAAAAATAAAAATAAAATTTGTATTTTTTTTTTAAAATAAAAAAACAATCCGCTACCCTTCTTTTGTAAAAAGGGTAGCGGATGCTTAAAAAAAATAATAAATTAATAGTCTTCGCTACCCTTTTATATTTAGAAGGGTAGCGGATGTTCAACTTTTCGCTACCCTTGTAAAAGGGTAGCGGAAAGCTCAAGGCTTTCAGCGTCCCCCACATCCGCTACCCTTGTACAAGGGTAGCGGATAACGCTTTACAAGGGTAGTGGATGTGCATATCTGTACTAGTGTCAGTACTGTGTTTTGCAAATTTCGAGTATTAAAGAAACCAAGGAAAAAGGTATGAAGTAATTCACGTGTACTAAACGGAGAGTTGAGGAAGAAAGCGGTAAGAAGAAAAAAAAATAAAAGAGAAAAATGAAATAAATTTGAAAGGACCAAAATACCCTCTTAATTATAACATATTATTTTTTCGATTGAAATTTTGGTAATATGTGGCCGGAAAATTAGACTGGAAGACCAAACACTACTAGAAATTATGAAATTTCCGACTACCTGAAAGTGATCTTAAATCAAGTTGATACCAAAAAGTGGTTGGAAATAGCAACAAAGGTTTTTCCGGATACCAAAAGTGGTCGGAACAAGGCTTTTTACTTGATTTAAGATAATTTTCAGGTGGTCGGAAATTTCATAATTTCCAGTAGTGAAAAGTGATACTAGTTAGAAAGTCATGCACCTAATTTGAAAAAAGCAATAGTTAAGGACCAAAAGTGATTCACCTATAATAGTCAAGGGACCAAAAAGGATATTTACTCTATATATTATGTTAGATTATGTGTATTATCTTTCAAAAAAGATTATGTGTATTATGTTAAAGGTTTATGTGTATTCTGTTATACAATTATGTACATTGAAAACATGATTTTTCTTTTTAAAGTTAACAGCAGAAACGAGGAATGGAATTTCAAAAAAAAAAAAAAAAAAAAAAACAGATACTAAACGACGATGTCTTTTTAGGCCAAGGCGCATAATAAATTGTCGCGTCCTTGTGCACAATACAATTTGCCGGTTCTGAATGGAGACAACATCTACCGTGTAATCTTTTGGGTTTTGCATTTCGATATCGAAAAGCTTGCGATTTTGAATAGGAACAACATCTACCGTGTAGTCTTTTGGGCAAATTAGGCTGTGAGAACGTGCTCACCATGCAAATCTATATCCATAATTTTTATATTGTATATTCATAATGTCTATATTGTATATTCATAAATTTCTAGATTCTCGATGAGCTAAAATTATGAATCTAAAATATAAATTTTAGTTCACCGAGAGTCTTGAAATTATGAATATACAGTATAGAAATTATGGATATAGATTCGTAATTAGAAATTATGAATCTAAAATATAAATTTTAGCTCATAGAGAAATTAGAAATTATAAATATACAGTATAAAATTATAGATATAAATTTGTGCGCATCATGTAAGATGAATACGTGCTCACAGCATAACGATTGAGTCTTTTAGGTTGTGCATTTCGATATCGGCAGAAACATGATGGGTGCACGCAATGGGACAGACAACTGCGCAGCATCAAGAATAATCCCTCTAACATTAGCAATTATTATTTTCCTATATGCTAGAGGAAAGTGAATGCACTTCTTATTTGTACGGTTTTGCAGATCAAATCTGTATTGTAATACCCTTTAAAAAAAAAATCTGTATTGTAATATGATAGATTTTTAGATAATTATATTATTATTAAAATAAATATAGAAAAAATAAAGAAAAAATAATTTAAAAATAAATATGATGTCAACTATTATATAATAATCCATATTAAATGTCAATTTATAAAGTTGCAATATGATTTCTTACTGAGCGGTGGAAGAAGGGATAAGAGTCACCACTCACCAGCACAGGACGGAAAAGAAGGGAGGTAGTGCAAAATGAAGAATTATAATTTTTTTAGTCACCAATTTATTGTATTTATATATAGGTAGAGAATGTGAGAATTATAAATTAGTAATATTAGTTCCCTTTTCCAATTTACATTCTTAATCAAATATTATTTTACGTTGATCCGGTTCCTTTTCCAATTTTCCTAATTTCTGTTTTATTTTTCATTAGGATCCATTTATATTTTCAGTCAATTAATAATATCAATTTCAATTCCCTTTTTAATTTATATACCTTTACTATTGTTTGGGCGGAAATTTCACAAAGAGGATTGTGTTTTTATTAATAGTATATATTTTACATTTTGTGTTTGTCCTTATTAATTACTTTCTTATTAATTAATATTAATATTAATATTACCGAAATCATCTCATCCATCCAAATTTATAATTTCAATGGCTACGATTTGTGTTTTCGTTCTCACGTAGAAGGTGTTCTGATGTGAATGGAAGTGTGTATATATATATATATATATATATATAGTCGAGTTCAGGTGCGGCGACACCTTCCCGTGCGATCGTGCGGCGATTTTCATAATACACCAATAGTTAAGCAAAATATACATCAGCAACGTTAGGAAATGAACTACAAAAAAAACACACAAATTAGGTAGGCATCATCAACAACACACCATTAGGTATGACTAAACGCACCACACAGTGTTCGAAAATACACCATTAGTGGTAGGGAGGTATATGGTGTAATTTTTTTGGGTGTGTTGTGTATTTTTGCATTTCATTGTTGTGTGTTTCTCTTACACTATTGGTGCATATTCTTAACACTATTGCTGTATTCTGAAAACCGCCGCACAATCGCACAGGAAGGTATCGCCGCATTTGAACATTTTCCTATATATATGTGTGTGTGTTCATTTCTTCTAATTACATAGGTAGAAAGTTATGTAGTTCAAACCACGAATAACTATCATAACTTAACCAATCCAGTAACAACATATCAAATGTTCTAAGATAATAAACAAGCTAAGACATTTTAGCGGTCTAAAATACACAAGTAATAAAACTTGTCACAATAGACGATGCATGTAATATGTAATCTAACATATCTTCTAGCAGCGAATGTACTATTGCCATAAACATTATGTTTCCTGTCTCACCACGTGATATAACACTTAACACCTTATCCAACAACTTATACCAAGTTGTAACTTGTTTATTAACATCTTATAAAAAAAAGTCACTTATATACATGTAAATAACCGACACTTAACTTCACAACGCCAATTAAATACATGTGTGCTAAGAAACCATGTGTGAGCATTTTCTAACAACATTTACGGTGCAATTTTTTTTAAACACATATTTATGTGATCTCAGTTTTGTCAGACTAATTCTATATTTACGGTTTAAATTAGTCCACCAGTCATACCTTAATCTTCATGCCCGTACAAGGGATCCAATCTACACCTTCTATCATCCTGGGCCATTTTCCAATTCATGTTTTCAGTGGGATATCATACCTTAATCTTCATGCCCGTACAAGGGATCCAATCTACACCTTCTATCATCCTGGGCCATTTTCCAATTCATGTTTTCAGTGGGATATCAAGTTAGGCGATGAACCACTACGTTAAGTTCAGGGAAAATTTATCGTGCAAATTTTTTTATATGACCTTTTTCTAATTCATGTTTTCAGTGGGATATCAAGTCAGGCGATGAACCACTACGTTAAGTTCGGGGAAAATTTACCGTGCAAATTTTTTTTATATGACGAGGGAAACTCTACAATCCTTTCCAGTGTGAGTAATCCCTGCCCGTATGACCCTAGCCGACAAAGGAGCACAAGGAAGTAAACCAGGTTACTCATAGCTGACCGGCTCAACCAAGGGGGTAAGGATTCGAACTCGTGACCTTGTCATTTTGGCTGGGGTTACCTCCAATTTACCGTGCAAATTTTCTTCTCCCAAAATGTTGAATCCCCAACCCCAAGGGCTCCCCACACCCCGGCCCAATAAAGCGTTTGGAATGATGTAAATCACGGTGACTCAATGGTTCAGCAGACATTATATTGCTAAATGTCGGTGCGCACAAGGGATTTCCTCCCTTTAAGCATAATCCTCACATTGCCGCTGCCGATGTTCGAACCTTGATCTCTAATCTTCTCTTAAAAACTACCTACTGAACCAGTGAGTTAAACTTGTGCGGACATTTAGCATGAAAATTTATTTGGATGGATGGATGGAGTGCACAAATATAATATATTTGTTATAAATAGATTTATGGTGGACATTGATAATAGTTTTGTAACGTTTGTAACGGATGTAATTATCATTCATTATTGTATGTCTTTATGGTATCTTGTATATATATCATTGTACTATGATGAATGAGATATATAGAGATATCCTCCTTTCTCCTTGGTCTATTCTCTGTATATTCTTTTAACACGTTATCAGCCCTTTGCTCTACATTTGCTATCATGGTGAACCGGGGACAAGGGAGATATTCGATGGAACGTGATCTAGATCATGTTCGAGAAATTATGTCCGATTTGCGCCGTCGGAGTTACGATGTCCTCATCCGCGATCCGAAGGCTCCAGGCCGGCGATGGTGGTTCTCCCTTTGGCAGATCGGCGAC